ATCCCCAAAAAATGTGGAGTACATTTTGTCCATCTTGACTGGCCACATTACGTGGGAACTCCAACATTGGTAATTTTAACATATTCGCCTATTAGTTCTTCCCACCTTTCACAAATTCCTCAGGTAGGGTTTCATCCCAAGCACATTTAAGCTTCCATGCTTCTTGTATCAACAATTTTCCTCTTACGGTAAGTGGGGACACTAAGCCTGTGGATCGAAGCTTTTTGAAACTTCCGCAAGTAAGACTTCTTGGTTAATTTTTTTGGCATGCTGTAGTTATTAGACTTTAACGATAACAAGTCCTCTCTGTGTCTCAAGTCGTCCCAGCACATTACTATATTTAGACACTTTCAACTCCAGGGTTGTCTTTATTTATTTGAGCCCTTAAACTGGACGAATTACTGTTCCATTCCTCAGGGGCATATTTGGACCTTGCATTATTTCATTAGCCCCTTCATATATGCTCATTATTTTCCTCTTCGGTAGACGTCACCCCCAGGAAATTGTCCACATAAAATTGTTTACCATTACTCCACTCAGTGGACCACCCGTACGCTTAAGGTGTGCATTTATCGTTGCCTGGGTAGGAACGGACTGGAGGTAGCACCAAAAAAATACACACCTGAAGCGAAAAGTCTTCAGGGGACAAAGTGGGTCATTAGGATTCTCGGACCATAAGAACCTAGTGCAATCCCAGTCAGCCTCCCGCAGACCCACTCTCAGGAAAGCCCTTTTCTTATGTCCGCCGTAAAGGCATAATTCTTAACCCTAAAGTTTAATAATATGTCTCCCAGTTTTTCCGTCAACGACGGACCTGTCATCAAACAGTCATTCAAACTAGGTACATTTTTGTTACTCCTGGCACTACAATTAAACACAATCCTCAGAGTGGTCTTAGAATCCTTCTTCACTCCGTGATGTGGCAAATAGTGACCATAAATCTGGGCTTGCTCAGGAGGTAACCCCCTCTTTTGAATTTATTTTTAACTGCTCATTAATTATATCATCGTAAGCAGTCAACAGTTCTGGTGTCTTGCTCAGTTCGTGGAGCTGAGCCTTTTAAAATTGTCCATGTGCCATCCGGTAATTAGTTGGTAGGTCTGGATGGGTTTAGCCTCCACGGAAGTCTCACCCAGTATTGTCCAGATTCAAATTTAACATCCTTCTGGTATTGTTCTTGAAGTAAAGGAATCATCTGGACCTTTCTCATTTACATTGATCCCTATGCTGTCCAATTCCCATAGTTTAAAAACACAGGTTCAACTTCATCCTCTATTTAAGTATATTTATACTGGGGTGATACTTCATGAAATAAGACACAAACCCTAACTGTATTTATGGCTTCCTCCCGTCATTCATTATCGTACGAGGAAGCCTGCCATACATCACGTGACCTCCTGCGGTCCTTAGAAGGGTGACTCCGCATTTCTTTGTCATACCCTTTACAAAGGTGGCATAATGGTCACTACCTAATCAAAATATCTATTGGCCCCACAGAATCATTATTTATACCAGAAGGTGCCAAATTTACTTACTTGAAAGCCTTTCAGCAGCGCTACCCAAACCCTATTGTAGATATTTTCTCTGGGAGCCTATCCACAATTACGGCATTAATACGTTTTCTCCCATTGCCCAGCCTGACAGTTACATAAAAAAGTTGTCGTATGATTGGGCCTTCTTATTCGAGAGAAAGCCAGATAGCTTGAGTATAGCAGGATCTCCCATTTGTACCTTCATCCCCTTAAGGCAATTACGTTTTATGAAGGTACGTTGTGATCCCTGATCCAGTAATGCTGTTACAGTTTTGGAATTTACGCCCTTTAAACATTAATCACCACATCCAACACAGGTAAAGCTACCCCAGCTAGGCCATCATTACCGACATTAGCTGCAATCTTTACGTTGGCTACTGTTGTGTCCGGGTTATTATCACTATCAGTATATTTTTTCCCCTCATTACGATTGGATCCGCCCTTACACATAGCTATGTGGTGTCTTCCCTTGTTAACACTGATAACAATAGTGCAAGTTAGGGACGGCAATCCCCCTTTCATTATGATTTCCTAGACACCTGATACATCTAGCAAGCTCTTCCAATCTTTCCACTTTAACATCCCCTGAATTATAGGCATTACAGTTCTTAGAGAAATGAGTACCGTTTTCAGAAGATTACAATCTCTCCTTTTTTGCCTGACCTCTTATCAACTGGGCTACCCCTTTTTGTGGTACTTCCTCCTCTTGCTTTGATGTGGAGAACCACTATTACTGGCCCTGTCACTTGATATGTGCCTACGTAAACCCCGTTTAGTAGGTGACTTATGATTATTGATATTAGGATAAAGTTTCCTTTTGTGGAACTTGACAGGTGCACTGGGGTCTGTAGACGTGGTATTCCTAAGGTAATGGGTTGGCTGGTCTGCATTTGGATAATTAGCTCCTGCAGCCCACTCTTATTTCTTCCAACCCGAAGTAACCCCTTTTGATATCTGTTAGATAGCCACTCTACTGTCTTGTGGTTCAATTTATTCTGAATCAAGGCGCTCAACAACCACTCTGGGCCCCCCCCAGATTATATTTATTACTCAAGGTCTTAAGAGTGCTTTCCAGTTTGATCCTAAATTGCTGTAAGCTGTTGCGGTTGTGATCTGGAGTCTTCAAACTAGACAAATTAGCTACTAGATCCAACCTACTTTGCTCTAAGTTACCGTAAGTGACCTCCAACAAGTCAAACTGCCTCACCTAGGAGTCATCTACATTTGGGAACGCTTGTATGAGAACATGGCGCATCTCCCCTTACTTGTCCTTTAAATAGCACAATTTGGTAACACTTGCAAGATCACTCCTATCATGTACGACTGCTTTAAAGATAGACCAAAACTCCTCCCAGTTTTTCTCCTGGATTAAACACAGGCATGCATAATTCTGGGAGTTTTGGTAGACACCTCTGATTTTCCTTACTAGGTTGACCAACAACATTGTTTACCCCCCTTTACCTTCTCTAAAGCCTTAGTTTTGCAGGACACAATGTTGTCCTCCACTTCATAATATTGATCAAGCAGCCGCTCCCTTTCAGCATCATCTGTACAATCACCAGAAGATCGCTCTCACATCCTTATACCACAATCTTATGACTCATATCTATTTTCTAAGGCATCAGGTGTAGCTTTAATTCATCAGGGTTTACCGTTTCTTGTCTCATTAACTCCATACACTTGTTGTTTTGATTTTGTAACATGACCTTCCGAGCTTGTAGTGACGCTTTCTTTGCTTTGGATCCATGGACTTGCCAGCCGCACTAACTTCCTCAGACCCAGCCATGGTTTTGGGAATTAATAATCACCATTATACAACTTAAGAGACACGTTGTGAGAGTAATTCTTGCACTTACTCTTGTGTAAATCCTAGCCACCCATGTGCTAGTAATTAATTGGGCTAATTATCCTCCACCACACGACCGATTAAATTTGTGTACCCTATACCCGCTTCCTTCAATCAGTCACTTAATTATTAAGTAAATTAATTCAATTAATTTTTACTGATTGCATCCCGGGTTTAGGAAGGACCAGCGGGGAGATATGGAAAATTTTATAGGGTGATTACCCCTTTTTGTACCTCAACATTACATGCTTACAAGTAAACTCATTGGGGACAACCATATTGTTTACCGTAGTCCCCCCCCGGTAGACATGTGAGAAAACTTAACCACCCCTGGTCACGGCAAGTGGTTCCTTCGACCTCACAATCTTATCCATATCTATCCGAGAAACCCGTATGGATTGGATTGCACCCACAAGTACGGTGCTACTAATTAATTGTGACTGTATAGATTATATTAGTTTAAACTGAATGAAGGGGGGGGGGTAGGGTTTCACATGGATATATCCATCAAGGAAAACACTTGTACATAATCTCACCACTTACCAGATATTCTCTGGTGGTCACTTGATGTAGCTGGATCACCCATAACCTATCCAATTACAACATACCTAACTGGCCAGTAATCAGTCTGCTATAACTAGAAGGGTTACTTAACTGTGGGTGGGTTGATACTCCTTATTCCCTCCATTCACCATCTCATTTCGATGTCCTGCTACACCGACACGGTTCTTATTCCAGCAGGACGAGGTATCCATTCACTCGGAGCAGGGCGATCTATTTCACATCCCGCATTCTCTTAACTCAATGTTATTATCACTGATTACATTACCATTCACAAGACGATTTAACGTCTCATAATTATTATACACATTAGAGGTCACTCCATTAAGATCTGAGGCCGATGAGTGAGGATTAACACACGGGTATTTCCCCTGGACACACACCATGGCCGCGCACCAGTCACACCCGGTCGAACCATTATTCACTAATTTTACCACCTTTTTACGGTGGTCCCGTAAATCACGTTCCCTCACTCTTCACCAGGAACAGTTACAACACTTCCTATTATGAAGTGAGGCCCATATTAATCCTTAGGCCGCCGTGAACGCCAATTTCCTGATCCCAGGTTTTCACAGCCTCCTCACTACATTCAAAACACTCCCGCCCCCCCGTGCCCCTGTTCGACCAATATCCCCGCACATCTGCGCAGGCGCAGCGGGAACCCAGTTGGTTCCATTCAAAATACAAATACATTTTGACCCAAGTCAACACATTAAACACTTATTAGGCACTATAGCTTCGGAAATTAAATAATTTCCACATATGATAACAGATATCTGAATAAATAACTTATTATACTTCATATATATTTCAATTAAACCATGACAACGCTATTATTCCAGAGCTCTGGAACTGTTTCTTTAATTTATAGATTTTGCATAATTATGTAAATATACATTTTGCTTATCTAGCTCACAGTCTTATTGTGTTTTTGATGCTCCAAATTTGCATTTCGTATATATTTTAAAAATAAATAATATATCAGTACCATCAATATAAGATAAGAACGACATAGATATGTGTTTCTTATTTCCAACAATATAAAGTAACTCATTACTTACTGTCACAACACACACAGCCAGGCTCTACACAACACTGTTGTTCCAAAGGATTTCTACACATTCTGTAGTCCACACAGGTACCGGCATTGTCATCATAGGTTGTGCAGTTTTCCGTGCAGGTGCCCAGAGAACGCTGATAGAAGGTACACTTGTTAGTGCAGACTACGCGAGTATTATTAAGGGTAGTGCAACTCGCTAAGCGTGTTGTGCAACACTTGCAAGCGGTGTGACCACAATCATCATGAATCTCACGCTCCATGCTATGGCAGAATTCTCTGCACACTCCATGGCCTTCGTCGCAGAAAGGTTTGGCATTGCATTCTGAGGGAAAAGATGTGCATTACATGAGAAAATTCACAATTAGTTATGATAAAAAATGAATTGCTGCTGAGGGAAATTTATAACAATATGCATCATTATGCTGTTACACATCTATCTACCGTTTCTTCATTAAAAACACACAAGTGTTGCACATGTGTCTAATTTATCAACTCGTCGGTTCTCTGAGCCATTCATTTACATTCCTGTCTGACAGCAATATCTTGGGATCTTAATACAGGGAATTCTTCATTTGCCTAACCTTTGAGCATGACCTACTTCCACATTCGTCAAATGCGATACTACCTACGACTGCTGGACCTCATCTATCTACAGTATATAAGCTACTTCTTCGCACATATGCTGTATTCTTTACAAGATTGACGGACTGATTGCATCGACTCAAGGGTGAGGGACTGATTACCTCAAACTCATCCCGTTCTTCATCATTCTCCTTTGTATGGACTGATGAACCCACTGTGTGGCGAAACGTTTCCTCATTAAAGATACCCAACTGTTGCACATGTTGATAAATTAGACACATGTGCAACTCTTGGGTATCTTTATTGAGGAAACGTTTCGCCACACAGTGGCTTCATCAGTCCATACAAAGGAGAATCTTGAAGAACAGGAGGAGAATGAGGTAATCAGTCCCTCAACCTTGAGTCGATGTGGTCAGTCCATCAATCTTGAATAGAATACGGCATACGTGCTGAGAAGGAGCTTATAAACCGTTGGCTTATAAACCTAATTCTTGGGCACAACCTACTTCAACATTGAACAAATGTTACACGACCTATGACTGCTTCACCTCTCCTGCCAACGGTTTATAAGCTCCTTCTCAGCACGTATGCCGTATTCTATTCAAGATTGATGGACTGACCACATCGACTCAAGGTTGAGGGACTGATTACCTCATTCTCCTCCTGTTCTTCAAGATTCTCCTTTGTATGGACTGATGAAGCCACTGTGTGGCGAAACGTTTCCTCAATAAAGATACCCAAGAGTTGCACATGTGTCTAATTTATCAACATGTCGGTTCTCTGAACCATTCATCTACAAAACTGTTGCACATGTGTAATTTATCAACTTGTTGGTTCTCTGAACCATTCATCCACAAAACACGTCGTTCACACCACCTTCTGAACAAAACACTTAAGGAAAACTTAAGAAACAATCTGTAGATTCGTTTGATTACCTTAATTTATTTTCGAGTATTTATGAATTATCAAATATAAAGCGCAAAATATAAATTAGGTTGATAAAAATTATAATGTGTCTTATAGTGTTTGACGGAGTCATTTTAAATATACGAGACATTACACGCAAATTTTATATTTCGGGCTGTATCTGGGCCTCTCCCCATGAAAAACTTTTAAAAACTTTTTTTTAATAATCAAAGGGACACGAGAAAATAGATTCCAGAGTCAACAAACTATAAGTGAGAAATGGAAGTTATAAAATTTAAGTGAGAAATGGAGTTATAAAATGATACTGTTATTATAAATGTGAAGAACTGACGTAACTAGATGTTCATTAGCTGTTAGATCCTGTTTTTCTACCATTCTATATATGTAGTGACACTGGATAATATACAGAAAACAGACAAAATTTATCCACTGTGTGGTTTTAAATATCTTTGTGCACGAAAATTTTTTTTTTATTTGCTTTCGAGCAATATTAAAAATTTTAAAACAAAAATTTATAAGAACAAGGAAATTAAGTTTTTTTTTAAAACAACGAATATATTAAAATTTAGTGAATTTAATGAAGATTACGACAGGGGGAAAATAAATATTTTTTTTTAATAGAGACATTGAAAAATAATAAAAAAAATCCACAAATTTTTGGGTAATAGTATTTTTTAAAAAATAATTAAAGGTTTTTGAAAAGATTAAATCTGGAGATCAGAGATTTAGAGCAAGGAAGGGGTGCAGTAATTTTGAAGGATCATTTATGGAAGGAGAAAAGAAATTAATGTGTAAATTAAAAGGGATTATATGGATTAAAGTAAAGGTTGGTGCGAAAAAAATGGGTATAATAAGGGTATGCCCCTGGAGAAGAGAGAAGATTTTGGGAGAGGGTTAAATGAATGTATAGGAACCTTTAAACCCAAATGGAAGTAATTGTGGGAGGGACCTGAATCTAAAGTAGGAGAAACGTTTAGAGGGGTGTGGTAGGTAAGTTTTGGGGGGCCCGTGTAAATTAATGGGGATCCTTTGATTGAACTTTTTATAGAAAGGGGTTTGTTATAGGTAATACATATTTTAAGAAAAAGAGGGAAAAAAAAGTATAAACTTTTAGTAGGGCGAAAAGACTATTTTTGGGTTATGTATTGGTAGTAAAAGATGTTGAGTTATTTCAGGGTGTACATGTTTATGAGGGGGCCACAGATATATCAGACACTTTTTTTTGTTGTAGCACATGAGAAATAAAGGTAGATGGGATACAAGATAATAGAAAAACATCAGAGAAAAAGAGGGGGAAGGGTTTTTAAACTTAAGAGGAGGGGAGTTAGGGTAAGAATAAACAGCTATTGGAGGATAATGGGCTAATGAGAGATAGGGGAATGGGTCGAGGAGGAGGCGTAGGTTTAAAAAAGTAGTGTTAAGTGTTCAGCGAAATTTGGGTTAAGGAAAATGGGTGCGGGAGGGAAGAGGGCGATTGGTGGAATGATGATTAAAAAGAAGTAGGGAAAAAAAATTAGGTTAGAAACTTTTTACAAAGTAAAAGTGATGCAAGGAGGAAGAGCATATGGAGAAAAAGAGAAGGTTAAGGAGTGGTGAAGCAATGTAAAAAGAAGCAAATGAGAGAGGGGGGAAATGTTATCAACAAATTTTGTTGAAAAAAGAAAAAAATTTTGGATGAGATTAACAAGTTAAGGAAGCCTAAGAACAAATGGATTTGGGCGTTAAAAATAAGAGGAGAGTTATTTAAAAGGGAGTTTTGAGGTATCAGGAAGATGGAGGGGAAAATTTGAGGAATTGTTAAATGTTGATGAAGTGGGAAACGTGATTTCGTTATAGGGCAAGGAGGAATAACATCTTGTAGGGGCGAGGAAGAGCCAGTTGTGAGTGTGGGGGAAGTTCGTGAGGCAGTAGGTAAAATGAAAGGGGGTAAGGCAGCCGGGATTGTTTGGGATAAAGAAAGAAAGTTAAAAGCAGGTGGGGATATAGTTTTGGAGGGGTTGGTGCAATTATTAATAAATGTAGGGGAAGAGGTAAGGTACCTAGGATTGGCAGAGAGCATGCATAGTTCCTTTATATAAAGGCAAAGGGGACAAAAGAGAGAGTAAAAAATTATAGGGGGATAAGTCTGTTGAGTATACCTGGTAAAGTGTATGGTAGAGTCATTATTGAAAGAATTAAGAGTAAGACGGAAAATAGGATAGCAGATGAACAAGGAGGCTTTTAGGAAAGGTAGGGGTGTGTAGACCAAGTGTTTACAGTGAAACATATAAGTGAACAGTATTTAGATAAGGCTAAAGAGGTTTTTGTGGCATTTATGGATTTGGAAAAGGCGTATGACAGGGTGGATAGGGGGGCAATATGGCAGATGTTGCAGGTGTATGGTGTAGGAGATAGGTTACTGAAAGCAGTGAAGAGTTTTTACGAGGATAGTGAGGCTCAAGTTAGAGTATGTAGGAAAGAGGGAGATTATTTCCCAGTAAAAGTAGGCCTTAGACAGGGATGTGTGATGTCACCGTGGTTGTTTAATATATTTATAGATGGGATTGTAAGAGAAGTAAATGCGAGGGTCTTGGCAAGAGGCGTGGAGTTAAAAGATAAGGAATCACACAAAGTGGGAGTTGTCACAGTTGCTTTTCGCTGATGACACTGTGCTCTTGGGAGATACTGTAGAGAAGTTGCAGAGGTTGGTGGATGAATTTGGTAGGGTATGCAAAAGAAGAAAATTAAAAGTGAATACAGGAAAGAGTAAGGTTATGAGGATAACAAAAAGATTAGGTGATGAAAGATTGGATATCAGACTGGAGGGAGAGAGTATGGAGGAGGTGAATGTATTCAGATATTTGGGAGTGGACGTGTCAGCGGATGGGTCTATGAAAGATGAGGTGAATCATAGAATTGATGAGGGGAAAAGGGCGAGTGGTGCACTTAGGAGTCTGTGAAGACAAAGAACTTTGTCCTTGGAGGCAAAGAGGGGAATGTATGAGAGTATAGTTTTACCAACGCTCTTATATGAGTGTGAAGCATGGGTGATGAATGTTGCAGCGGGTAGAAGACTGGAGGCAGTGGAGATGTCATGTCTGAGGGCAATGTGTGGTGTGAAAATAATGCAGAGAATTAGTAGTTTGGAAGTTAGGAGGAGGTGCGGGATTACCAAAACTGTTGTCCAGAGGGCTGAGGAAGGGTTGTTGAGGTGGTTCGGACATGTAGAGAGAATGGAGCGAAACAGAATGACTTCAAGAGTGTATCAGTCTGTAGCGGAAGGAAGGCGGGGTAGGGGTCGGCCTAGGAAAGGTTGGAGGGAGGGGGTAAAGGAGGTTTTGTGTGCGAGGGGCTTGGACTTCCAGCGGGCATGCGTGAGCGTGTTTGATAGGATGAATGGAGACAAATGGTTTTTAATGCTTGACGTGCTGTTGGAGTGTGAGCAAAGTAACATTTATGAAAGGATTCAGGGAAACCGGCAGGCCGGACTTGAGTCCTGGAGATGGGAAGTACAGTGCCTGCACTCTCAAAGAGGGGTGTTAATGTTGCAGTTTAAAAACTGAAGTGTAAAGCACCCTTCTGGCAAGACAGTGATGGAGTGAATGATGGTGAAAGGGCAAAATCAGTTTTTATCCATGATCTTCAGGAGAGGAAAGGACACACACACTGAAAGACGGCAGGCAGAAAGAAAGGAGATTGAGAACATCACGGAAATGGGTGAAGAAGACATGGATGAGATTGTAAATTTTCAGAGAATAGGGGGGTACTTGAAGGGGGAGAAAATGACCGATCAAGCTGATTCTCAGGACAGAAACAGTGCAGAACAGGATCCTC